CGACCTATCATCCGGATTGTCAGCTTCGATCCCATATTGCATGTTCTGCAGACCAAGAAGAGACCGCGTAGAATGACCCTCAAAGGCAGCGACGGCAACTCCTACATGTACGCGCTCAAGGGACACGAAGATATCCGGCAAGACGAGAGAGTCATGCAACTATTCGGCCTCGTTAACACCCTTCTGGACAATGATGGGGAGAGCTTCAAGCGCCATTTATCTGTGCAACGGTTCCCTGCCATTCCCCTGTCTCAAAGCTCCGGTCTTCTAGGATGGGTCTCCAACAGCGATACATTGCACGCATTGATCAAGGAATACCGAGAGAGTCGTCGGATATTACTCAACATTGAACATCGTATCATGCTTCAGATGGCACCGGACTACGATAATCTCACGCTCATGCAGAAAGTGGAAGTGTTCGGGTACGCCATGGACAACACTACCGGGAAAGATCTTTATCGTGTCCTTTGGCTCAAAAGCAAGAGCTCTGAGGCGTGGCTTGAGCGGCGGACGAACTACACTCGATCTCTTGGTGTCATGTCTATGGTCGGCTACATACTTGGTCTGGGCGATCGCCACCCGTCTAACCTCCTTCTCGATCGAATTACTGGCAGAGTGGTTCACATTGACTTTGGTGATTGCTTCGAGGTGGCCATGCACCGAGAGAAATACCCAGAAAGAGTGCCTTTCCGCCTTACTCGCATGTTGACGTTCGCCATGGAAGTTAGCAACATCGAAGGCAGTTATCGTATCACATGTGAAGCGGTTATGCGTGTTCTCAGAGAGAACAAGGACTCCCTTATGGCTGTGCTCGAAGCGGTGAGTCTCTTACTTTCAGGTTGGAATCTGACAAGGATATCTACTAATTGTCTTAATAACAGTTCATTCATGATCCTTTGATCAATTGGCGTCTGGGAGTCCGCGAGTCGCCAGATCGGATGCCCTTCTCCGCAGAGCGTCGCCAGTCTGTCGTTTCCAACATCAATCTTGAGCATGGCGTGCAGCCAAGCAATTTCTCTCGCCACCGCCGCCCATCGATCCTCGAAGGCGGGATTCTAGATGCGCAGGAAGGAATCCCCAACGAAGCACGAGAAGCACAGAATGCGCGCGCGCTTCAGGTACTTGCGCGAGTCAAAGAGAAGTTGACCGGTAGAGATTTTAGGCCCAACGAGGAGCTCAACGTCAGCGACCAAGTTGACAAACTTCTTGCCCAGGCTACCAGCGTGGAGAATATCTGCCAGCATTGGATTGGTTGGTGCAGTTTCTGGTGATTATGTTGTCCTGCCTATTATGGATTTCTGGTTCTCGCGGAGGCGCAACTTGTGATGACGGACTTTTTGCATGGCATGGCTACTATTTTCCTTCCTCCTTCTTATTCTCCACCTTCTCGACTATCTTGTCTTGTCTTCGTCTTTCTGTGTCTAGTATTACTACTTATTTGCGCCCGCGTTTTTTTTTTTCTCTTTCCCTGCTCTGTGCCCTACGAGGAAGCAGGATCAGGAGCTGCCGTTCATGATATTATTCTTTTGCATGTCTCAATTCGAGAATTGCATGTTGCATGTTGCTTAAGGTCGGATGGGTTGTGGGATAGACGGTTAATGGTGAATTTCGCAATGATTTGTGCCAATTTCTTCTAAGAGAACGGGATCAGCACGTGTTTTGCCCAGTGATGACTAGCCGAGGTCACGGGCGGACACAGGATTGAAGGAATCTCCTTGGATTCCTCCCTTCCACCTTCCCACCTTAATTATCTTCTCTATCTTCTCTATCATTCTTTTTCTTTTGCGCTTTCATCTGTTTCTCATATCCCAGGATGTGACCGGAGCCATTCCGGCTACCATCAGTGAGAAGCATGGCGTCAGACACCCCGCCCGACCCCGAAACCCAACCTGTGGTTCGCACCCTCCTCCGCATTTCCCTCAGCGCCAAGGAATACAAGCGTCTCCACGATTATGCCATCCAACGCACGCCTGTATCCGTCCAGGGTAGGCTGCCGTCTCCATCCAAGTACGAGGCCATTATCGACTCGAAAAATAAGCACAATGTCGCTGCTGTGCGGGTGGCATTGCGGACCTTCCTCCTCTCGTTATCCCTCACAAAGCTCGCCGACACCGTGATAAACCGGATACGCGAGGATCTACCGAGGTACATAGTCATTCCTGTTCGCGTTGTAGACTGGCAATGGTTAACATAGATCTCATCTCTTCCAACAGCAAAGAACCGAGAGCCTCTTCCGCCCGTTCCCCAAAAATCCGCATATCCGCGTCGCTCGCGCTTCTCCTCCTCTTTCACCGATTCCTTTATCGTTTCTTCGTCAAGCTGCGCGCCAACCTCCGCACCGACGACGCTCGGCCATTCCGAGATCGCAACCCACGAATCTCCAATGTGCTGACTTCGCGCTTTGCCCCGGCCATCGGGGCCAGTCTGGCGGGGTTCGCGCTAGGAATCTGCCCACGAAGCCAGTTTCGCTTTATCGCAGCCATCTATTCGGCCACGCGTGGCTTGGAATTCCTGTTCAATGCGTTGGATGAAAAGGGCTGGTTTGACAACCGGCCGGCCTGGTTCGGCAGTTGGTTGTTGATGCCAGTTTCTTGTGCGCAGCTGTTTCATTTGTTTATCTTCGATCGAGAGGCTGTGCCATCGGTGAGTCAAAGGATTGAATGCTCTTTCATTCTGGACGACAGACACTAAATAAACACTGCTTGCCAGTGGCTTGGAACGTTGATCTTCAGACTCTCCCCGAGTTACATCCGCGGTCGTCCCGAAAGTCTGCCTCTGAATATCGCTTGGCCCGACAAGGAGAATGTCATCGATTCGCTCGCAACTATATCTGCTCTAAGATGGCCGTGAGTGAACCCTCACCACCCGAATCATCTAAATGTGCTGGATTCCCGCCCTTATACTGATTACGGATGAATCAACCACAGATCATTTGTATCGCCAATTCTACATCCCGGAACTTCAAAGACACTACCTTCATCATTGGCGTCGATCTCCCCAGTGACCGGGTCCGCCCACCCAGCCATATCCAGCCTGTCCTGCGCCCTGCTCCACCCCAGCAGCCCCAGCTGCAGCACCGCCTTCCTGCACCACATCCTCCTCTCCGTGCCGCCTCTCGCGCGGCTCCTGACCGCCGCCACCCTGGCGCTCTCCCTGCGCAACCTGAAAACCCTGGCGTCCCACCCGATCACGTCGCTCAACGAACTCTCCCAGAGGGTCATGAAGCTGACCGCCGTGCTGTCGGCCTCGGCCGGCGCCGCCTGGGCCAGCATCTGCCTATGGAACGCCATCCTGCCGCGGTCCACGCTGGCCACGCAGCGGTTCTTCCTGAGCGGGGCCCTCGCGGGCGTCCCGTTCGCGTTCCTCGGCCCCCGGCGCAGCGTCTTCCTGTCGTTCTTCCGCGCCGCGATCGCGACCGCCTGGAAGACCGCGGGCAAGCGCGGCCGCTGGACTGGGTGGACGGACGGGGAGTTGTGTGTCATCGTCGCGAGCTGGGCGGTGATGGGGTGCATCCTGGATGCCCAGCCCGCCGCGGTGCAGGGCAAAGGGGTCAGGGTGGCGCTCGCGTGGATGCGCGGCGATGGGTTCGCTGATCCCTTGCGGGTCGCGGAGAAGCGGAAGGCGAAGAAGGCCGCTGCGCTGAAGAAGGAGAAGGCGGAGGACGATGCTCGGGTTTAGCGGCGCTGCAGGCAGGCAAATCTTGTTATGTTGTCTGGTGTTATGTCAGGTAATATGTTGTCCGCCGAGCGGGGAACTTCGGCCCTTCATAACTGGCATATAAGGTATGATGCGCAATTGTACCACGCTGTCTTAGTAACGAGGAATGAGCGCGCACGCCCTTGGTTATTGGTCCTTGGTACAGTTGGGGTAGGGCGGAGGGCGGAGGGCGGAGGGCGCGGGAACACCGAATGCGCTATATGCGTAAGTACTGTACATAATCGATATGTGTGTTGAGTCTGGAGTCAGACAGATGAGGGTGCTATCGGTCTTTTACGAGGGAGATTGCAAAGACGTCACCAAACGCATCTCATGTCCACAGAACCACACAAACAAAGCATCAAGGCCACCACGACATCTCCATTCTAGACCAATTTAGCCTAGGGATTCGGCCGTAGACTTGACTAGTGGTGGTGGTGTAGGCGATCATCCGGTATGGATCGGGAATGAACTTGATGGGAGTATTTCGTAGCTCGGCCAAAAGAATGTCAAGACACTGATCTCTAGCCGCTCGTTCGCTTCAAAGGATCCTATTTCCTGTCAGAACTTCCAGCCCCAAAAAAAAAAGAAATCCAAAAACTTTAAGCTCTCCGATGCGGGGAATCGAACCCCGAGCTGCCGTGTGAAAGACGGCGATGTTAGCCGTTACACCACATCGGAGGTTGTTGACGTAGAGACTGTTTGGTCATACTATCATCATCAATAGCGCTATAATGAGTGTTACAATAAATTTAGAAAAAGGTTGTCTAACGTAACTCATTCGTTATTACTATGTACCCCCTTAAGTACTACGGGTACAGCAGCAGGTAGGCTCGGGTCTGGGGTACTGTAGCTGTAGCATGGGCCCTAAAATCCCCGGTGGGAAAATAGACGACCAGTCAGTAACAATGCCATCGGCTATGAAAATCCACTCAAGCAGGCTAGTACAAGAAGACTTGCTGATAGCGAAGATTGCATCTATGGAGTAAATCTATAGCATTTCTTTGGGTATGCTAAACCTCGGAAGGGCTCAGAGAGGTATCTTCAATAATCCCTATAAGAAGAATCCCGGGAGCTGGAGGGACAGAGTCGACCACCTCGTTGAAACGTCAGTAAGTGCCAGCTTTCGTTGTGTCTGTTACCACCAAATTACAAATACTGCGCTGTATACGGGACAACAAGAGAGTAATCATGAATCGTCTTTTCCATTGTCATCCGGGCTAAAACATCACACTCGCAAGTTGTTTAAGAAGAAAGAAAGTTTAGTCAAAGCCCAAAGCTCTATTTAGTGTCTATGATGACTCCCCATCCCTCCTCACCCTCACAATCTCGCCTTGGGGATCCGGTTCCCCTGCTCATCGAAGTTGATCTTCTCGCCGGTGATCAGACTCTCCTGGAGGGCAGCGCCGATGCGCACGGCCTGGACGGCGCCCTCCAGCTTCAGGGGCACGGGGGTGTCCTCGAGGCAGGAGGCGGTGAACTCGTTGGCCTCGGTGACGAAGGCGTACTCGAAGCGGTCGTAGTAGTGCTGGGGCAGCTCGCGGCGGACGCCGGACTCGTCGAAGACGTTGACCAGGTTGATGGCGGGCTGGGTGTTGACGGCCAGCTTGCCCTTGGTGCCGATGATCTCGGTGGAGTCCTCCTGGCCGGCGGCCATCATGCGCGAGGCGTAGAAGTAGGCGATGCGGCCGTCGTAGAACTCGACCAGGCCGACGGCGTTGTCGCGGTCGTTGTGCTTGCGGAGGTCCGGCTCCACCGCCGTGATGCCTACGGCCGAGACGGACTTCACCCTGCTGTCCTGGCCGAAGAACCACAGCGCCAGGTCGATGTCGTGGATCGAACAGTCCACGAAGATGCCGCCGGAGAACTCGGCGTACGCAACGAAGAACCCCGTCGGGTCCAGCTTATCGCACGTCTGGCTGCGCATCACCGAGGCCGTGCCGATCGCCCCCGCGGACATCTTGCTGTGAGCGTCCCGGTAGGAGGCGTCGAACCGCCGTGAGAAACCGCACATGACCTTGAGATGGGGTTTCTTGGCTGCGGCGTCGAGGACGGATTGGGACTGTGGGTTCAACCAGAGATATTAGTTTTATTTTCTCCCTTCAACTGGGTTGTTGGGGGGAAGGAAAGAGGAGAGAGAGAGGCGCAAGGAGCGGAATGTTAATGGTCACCTACAATCTCAACACTAGTAGACAAAGGCTTCTCGCACAGAACGTTCTTGCCGGCCTCAATGGCCTTAATTGCCTGCTCGGCGTGCACGGCGGTAGCGGAGGCAACAATCACGGCCTCCAGCCCCTCGTGCTTCAGCATGTCATCGTAGTTCTTGTACAGCTTCACGCCGTACGGGGCCAGGTGGACCTTGCCCCATTCCAATTCGCTGTCGTCCGGAGTACTGACGGCGACGAGCTCTGCGCGGGGAGTGCGCTGTAGGAAGTTGAGGGCATGGCGCTTGCCCATGCGACCGAGACCGGCACAGCCAACCTTCAATCTTCTGGCAGACATTGTGATGGGTATTTGTATTGGAGGGGGGGGGTTGAGGAGCGACGAACGGGAGGAAGGTAGATTGGATTGAAACTTGGTGAAAAGAGAAGATGTGCGACGAAAGACAGGAAGAGGAAGAGATTATGAACAGCGAAGCAGCAGGAATTTAACCCCCGACACGCAGCTGGGGACAGTTGGAGCAAGTGTCGGTCTGGGTTCTTTCTTTTTTTTTTTTTGGTTTCCTTTTCCTTGAGGGGAAGATGCGGAGCAAGCTGAGTAGCTGCTAGAGCTGCTGCTGGTCAGCCAAGGAAGATAGGCCGTCAATCGTTTCGACTGGGTGGCTATTCGTAGGTTTGCTCCATTGAGGTTGGCAGTGGCTGTCGGACTGACTGGGACAGGGACGGTTTCGGGCGGAGTGGAAATCCCGGGGTGACTGTACAGTAAGCTGGAGTAGTTACCACCGACCCCGGAATCTGGCCGTCGGGATCCCTGCCCCGGAGCCACTTCGGAAACGAGGTTCCTGTGGGAGATTGTCTGCTATGATCCTGCAGCATTGGCAGGATAAAGAGAAACAGTGACTGCAAACTGCAGTCTTGAATCCATTCCAGATGGAATGACAGAAGGGGAATGAGAAACGGAAAGCAGCAAGATGAGCATGTTGAGCTCAAACAACATCCAAACAAACGGTAAAGTACGGGGGCGGGGAAAACTACCCTTTCCGGGGTATGCTTGGGGTACGGCGGGGAATATTCCCCTGAGTAACAACCTCAATGGCTTTTCTTCAATAAGAACTCAGTAGCAATCTAGCCACATACCCCCTTGGAAACTGCGGGGAAGCTGTACACTGAAAATAGAAGATCGAGTCGAAAGAAATGGGGAAAGCAAAAGGGGGAGGGAACATTATACAGTACGTACTCGAATGACATACTATCAATAGAACAGGAATATCTGTGCTCCTCACCTGGAGACAAAAACCAACACGTACTCAATTGGGATCATACAACTGCCGATTCTGGCGATGTAACATCCTACTTAATTCCAACGCAATGGTTACACTGCTGCAGCAAGTTCTATACTTATGAAAGTGGCAACGATAATTGGTTATGCCGTCCTCCAGGTTCCCAGTATGCACAGTACTGTACAATACATTCATAATCCTACCAAAAGTAAACAATTCGTACCAAACAACAAAACAATCACCAGATTCACCATTGTATTCTCAAAGCATAACAAGAAAGCTTCTCCCAACCACAGAACTGTTGTAAGGTATACAATCATTCATCACTGATCCGATCCGATCATTCCCTCAAGGGAATCAATCCCCGCATCCCCACGCCCCCACCCCCACCCCCGACTCGGGAATCCGTTCCCGAAGCGCCTTTCAATGTCTTGGCAGTGAAGCAATCCCCGCAAGCAAAAGATTTCTCCCCCCCCGAAACTGCCAAGTCAATTCTTTCTTGGACCGCAATGGGCTGACTTGGTCTGAGCGTTGGTCGTGGCTTGAGATTGACTTTGATCGCGGTCGATCATGATGAGGGGTATGGCTATCTACGTACAGGATGGAAGTGGCTGAGTCAATCAACTGATTCCTTGGGATGAAGAAGCCCGGTAAGTTAAGGTCATAAACCTTGGTATGATCGCCAGCAGGGATGATAGCCGTAGTGAAGTACCACTTGGGAAGTTAAGAGGTCGGGGGTCCAGGTACTACAGGGATGGATCATTGCACTGGGCAGTAGATAGTGAAGGGCAAATCGTGGTCCAAAGTTTCTTGGACCATCAGCACATTTGGAAAATAACATTGTAGAGTGTGTTCGTGAATCATCGCTTGAGTTCATACCGTGAAAGCCAAAGAAATAAAGTGAAAACAGATCTTTGAAACAAACAACCAAGCCAGACAATCCTACATGGCTCAGGTGGTAGACTGGATGGCATACAATCTCTTCTATTCATCCAGGGTATCATCTACCACTTGAGGACCCTGTTGGGGAAATACTCGTCGATTAACTCGAGGTAGTATGGCTGCGGATTACTGGTCAGCTGTATTCTCTAGAAAAATCACAAGAGTGGCTCACGAACCTTGAGCTCCTCGGCGCTGGGGATGCCATCGCTCTTGCTGTACAGATCGTAGGGATTGAAGGCCTTGACGGCCTTGAACATCTCCTTGTCCTTCTCGTTCATCAACTCCTGGTAGGCGCCAGCGTTGTGCCAGGGGTAGAAGGAGTGGTAGCGGATCATGGCCAGGGCCTCGGCGGGCAGGGTGGACTGCTCCTTGACGACGTGGTAGAGGTACTCGTCGTGGCCCCAGGAGATCATCACATTGTCCAGCCCGCAGCCGGGGCTGTAGATGCCGTACTGGGTGTCGTAGATCTCGTGGCCGAAGTCCGGGTTCTCCTTGAACGACTCGCGGCCGTAGATGATGCGATCGTCAAAGGCGCAGCCGACGGGGAAGGTGTCGCCGACGACGTCCCACTGGCCCTGGGCGTCGAAGAAGTACAGCAGCTTGCCCAGGTCGTGGATGAGCCCGGTCAGCTGCATCCAGCGGGGCTTGCCGTCGCGGCGGATCGCCTCCGCGGACTGCAGGAGATGCTCGATCTGGGAAAGGCTGGTGTCCGGATCGGACTCGTCGATCAACGTGTTCAGCTTCTCCATCGCCTCCCACACGCTCATCTCCGCCCGGGTCTTCGCGTGGAATGCATTGCGCGCCTTGAGGTTGTATGCCACCGTCTGCTTGGTGTGCTGCTCCTTGTAGAAGTTCTTGACCCGGTCACAGGCATCCTCGTACTGACGGAACTTGGTCTTGTCCTTCTCCTTGTCGAATTCAGATTCCTCGTAGAGACCCTTCTCCTTCTCCTCTTTCAGGTTGGTCTTGAGAACATTGACTGTGTCGATGGCGTCCGAGAGGTCCTCAAGGGCCTGCCCGTCACGTTTGGTGTTGAACACGGGGGTTTCTTGGGCGACTGCGACGGGGGCCATGTTGATGATGTGTATGGTGCGAAAATGAAGAAAACTTTTCGAGGCCCAAAGATCGTTTTACTCCGGTCTTCGAGGTTTGAGGGTATCACAGGTTGTTGTTGTCGGGAGGATAATGAATGAAAGCGAGGCAACACGGGCATAAATATGATATTTCCATTCTCTCGGCGAACGCAGATTAGACTACCCCAGGAGGAGTTGCCTTCGAAAATGCCAAACACCGAGGATCGCCCTTTGGTTGGTCTGCTGCAGCGCATGACGTTGCGTGATTCTAGAAACCCCACCGTCCGATTTTCCCATCAGCGTGACCACCCTACGCCAGGAGGTCGGATTCTGGGTTCCGAAGCCACAAGACTACTGTGGGAGGATTTGCCCTGGGGTAACATTCCCCGCTATGGTGGAACAGGGAGGTTCGTAGATAGTGTAGATCAGCCAACCAGAGTGCCAGCCACACTCCGGTGTGGCCCTGGAGGCTGTCTGGGCCGTGGGTGGGAACAAATGCCTCTGGATTCTGGTTTCCGATGGCGGGTTTGCATGCGGGCCGTTGTTCAACCAAAGAGGATTTCTTCATTTGTCAGGGGCCCCCGACCTCGATTAGGTTCACTCTTTCTGCAAGATACGATCATTGTGGTTCTCTGTATCTGCACCTCTGGCCTGCTGGACGATGACAATAGCCTTGATGCAGATGGGCAGACAAGGCTGGTTGTTTTCCCCGCTCCTGTCTAGGATTGAGGTGTGCCTGCCAAGTGCATTGCAGTGCAGGCAGTGCAGGCAGTGCAGGCAGTGCGGTTGATAGATAAGAAAAACAGGCTCCGCATTGTGATCCGTGAAGTTATTGAAAGCTGTTCCAGCCCTTTCTTGTTATGTAAGATCCTCAGTAAGAACGGTCGGCACAAAGACCCCCGAGGGGATGGAATCAGTGGGCGGGGAAAATGCCGGGAATTGCTCCGATGCTACTCGTAGTACTTACTGAGTAGTGCGGGGTATCTTCTCTCTGCCCCTCCTTCTCCTCGTCTACTAGTAGCTAAGTACTATTTTCCCTGCTTTTCCTGCCACATGTTCTCTTCTTCTTTCTTCTATTCCTCCCGCATCTTCTGTTCCATATCTCCTCCATTTCGCATCCTGTCCGTGTCCCGCGGTTCACGCCTCAAGCACCACACCATAATCAACCGCAACTCATCGCAAATCACAATGGGTCTCGCCGACACGCGCTTCAAGCTCAACACCGGAGCGGAGATCCCCGCTCTCGGACTCGGTAAGCGTTACGTGCCCCTACCTTTACCCAACCAAAACCACTAATCCTGTGTGTCCCAGGAACCTGGCAATCGGCGCCCGGCGAGGTCGAGAAGGCCGTGCGCCACGCCATCCAGGTCGGATACCGCCACATCGACACGGCGTTCGCGTACCAGAACGAGCACGAGGTGGGGAAGGCGATCAACGACGCGATCGCGGCGGGGGAGGTGACGCGGGCGGAGCTGTTCGTGACGACCAAGCTGTGGTGCACGGGGCACACGCGGGTGGAGGCGGCGCTGGACCAGAGCCTGCAGACGCTGGGGCTGGAGTACATCGACCTGTACCTGGTGCACTGGCCGGTGGCGATGAACCCGAACGGCAACCACCCGGTCGTGCCCAAGCTGCCGGACGGCTCGCGGGACCTGCACCGCGACCACCCGCACGTCGACACGTGGAAGAGCATGGAGAAGCTGGTCGGCGCCGGCAAAACCAAAGCCATCGGCGTCTGCAACTACAGCGTGCCCTACCTGCGCGAGCTCCTGGCCCAGGCCACCGTCGTCCCCGCCGTGAACCAGATCGAGAACCACCCCGCCCTGCCGCAGCAGGAGGTCGTCGACTTCTGCCGCGAAAAGGGCATCCACGTCACCGCGTACAGCCCGCTCGGCAGCACCGGCAGCCCGCTGTTCTCCGCTGAGCCTGTCGTTGAGGTCGCCAAGAAGAGGGACGTCTCCCCCGCCACCGTGCTTCTGAGCTGGCACAGTATGTTTTCACTTCTTCTTGCTTACGGCCCTGCTGCTTCTTGTCTTGCACCAAAACCGATAAGCTAATCAATCTCTTCCTGTCCAGTCGCCCGTGGCTCTTCGGTTCTCGCCAAGTCGGTAACTCCCTCTCGTATCGAGGCGAACCGCCAGCTAGTCGAGCTCGACGAGTCGGATCTCGCCACTATCGCCAAGTACACGGACGAGCTGGCTCGGACGAAGTCCTTCAAGCGTTACGTTTTCCCGCCCTTCGGTCTGGACTTTGGGTTCCCTGATAAGGTTGCCAATTAAGCAAGGGTCATCCATAAACAGGCACACCCAGCACCAGGGCAGACCTTCTTTCATCGATGGTAGAAGGGTTTATAGAGAGATATAGAAGGCATTTTGGCTGGATGGTTAACAAGACGAGGACCAAGAGTGACTTAGTTGTATATGACTCTGATATAAGACTCTTGTATGATTGAAATGACATTTTGACTAAACTCCGCTGTATGCTACAACAGTTGGCCTCTGTGCATCTGAACTAAAGGAGGAGGGGATTTCCTAATCAAGAGAGTTGACATGTGTGTTCATCAGTGCACAGTGAACAAACGCAGTTAGCAAGCCTTAGGCGAAAGGCCTGGCACACACCGATGGAGTGACGGGAAATTGGAAATTCTCACAGCTTAGACTTCAAGGTGTTAAACAGTTAACCAACTCAGCTCTGCCCCGGTCCTCTTGTGCTTTTCTCCAGTCTAATACACTCGAACCCTTCACCTCTATCCCCGAATCAAGCCCAAGCCAAAATCTCTTAAGACGGAGGCGCAATTAGTTCCACCGAAGTTAGAAGGCAGCCAAAAGCAAACCAGGCCGAGTGGACGATGGACTGAGATCAGTGGCGTCGAGAGGCGATCGATTCGAGCACAACGGGCAACGCAGTAGCGTGGAAGCCTACCCACACCCTGTCCACGCTGATGTTTGGCGAGCTTGTTCCTTGATCATGAGAAATGACGGTCAACCTCTCTTGATACGCCAAGGTCTCAATTTCGGGGATCATCTGCTCTTGCAAGGTCGAGTCTTCTCTCTTGAGCAAAAGCAAGAGCCCCTGGAGGCGGTTGACTTCTCGCTCAAGCAGGAGAGCACGCGCCAGCTTCAGCGACAGCAAGCCGCGGTCCCGAAGGAGTCCGAAGGCTTCGTTGAGATACGGGTACGGCAGAGAGGACAGGATCCAAGAGGCAGTATAAACTTCATAGTCGGGCCATGTGTATTCAGAATCCGTTGAAGCGGTAGTGGTCGTGCTTCGCCTCGAGTTGCTGCAGTGAAACTCGAAGTTGGGTGGTAGGTGGTCGGCCATATACTTCAGACAGGCCGTGACTACTTGCGGAGCCCAGCGGTTCTTGAATTCCTGTGCTCCGGGCGTGCTGGCCGTGGGCGTCCCGAGCGACGACGCCTCGGGGTCGAACCTTATAAACGCTTTCAGGGTGATCAGGTAGTCCGCGGGCCGGACACTGTACTGCAGGACCTCGTCAATGGTCTCCCAGCTGATCATGGCGATGGTCAGCTCAACCCCAGCTTTGATGACGTCCGGCAGTTGCAGACATGCTCCAGCCACGGCATACGAGTATGCCACCTCGGCCTTGGCGCTGCCGAAGGGAAACGAAAGCTCGCCGTATGTCGCCTCCGTGTATCCCAGTAACTCAATCGTTTTCAGGTGGAGAAGATGTTCGTCCAAGAGTGGCGCACCATACAGATATTTGAGAGCCATCTCGAAACCATGCATGGTGCCGATCTTCTCACCGAAGACCGCGGTGATTCGGTTATACCCTTCCATGTATGCGGGGAATTTCAGTATGACAGCAAGTGACGGGCTTCGTGCGATTATAACTCTATGTGTCAGCAAGGCAGAAGCAAAGTCAGGATCGCCTTTCATCAACATTTCAATGCCGAAGTCAACCAATTCTTGATCGCGGTAGAGTTTCAGGAAATGGGTCGACAGGCTATCCGTTGATTCCGATTCTTCAGGCAGATCTTCAATTCAGTCAGCACTCCGATCTGATAACCTCTTCCGCCGGCCAACTGACCGGTAATTTTGTCCCTATCACCGGCTTGTTTCTCGGCCGTATGGGCTTTGTCTTGAATAGTCTCTTCGACGTTCTTGGGGGAGCAAGGACTCGGTGCGACTGACTCGAATGCAATCTCAGATATTACATATTGACAATGCGACATGAAATGTGAACAACAGCATGATTTTCTAGGAGAACAGACACAATTCGCTGATCTTGGCGCATGCACGCAGCAATTAATTTCGAAGGAACAAATCTCCTGGCCACGTTGATCGCATTGCGCATTCTTGGCGTCCTGCTCGCAAGTTTTGCAGGCCAACGTGCAGTGTTCTTCATCATTTGACGGCTGCTGCTGCTCACTTGACGACACGCGAGCATCGTTTTCGGCAGCAATCAAGTCAGCGGGCGTCTCAGGCGATGAATCGTCATGTTGAATGTTCGAGTTCCCAGTGATCGCGGGATAATCTTCAGATTCTGTGGAGCATGATACCAAGCTTTCGATGTTGGTCTCGGTCAACTGCATTATTGGATTACTCTCGTCCGTGGGTGACGCAATCCGTGGGTTCGACGCTTGCAGTGGCCGAGCACTTTCCGTGCTTTGAGTTGCTGCAAATGAATCCAAGACGTTAGGACAGAAATCTTGCACCACATCGGGACTTGCTTCGGTCAATGGCACCACAACAGTACTTGCGTCAGTGGTAGACGAGTCTCGTGGCTCCGACTCTTGAATGGAGCGAGTGCTTTCCGACTCTTGAGTCGCTGTGAGCGAATCCAAGTCTCTAGAGTTTGATGCTTCCCCGTCATCATAGTCCAAAGCCTGGCTAGCATCGACCGAGTCTGGACTGACATAGGGCGGGGGTAATGATACGATCGGAGGGTCCGCTGCTGAGAGTGTTCTGGAACTAACATCCGAAGGGGCTGGGGAGAGGCAGGACGGATTCACCTCTGTCGGGACGAACTGAGTTTGGCCTGCTTCGAAAAGGCCGGGAGGTGGACTGGCGTATGGAGGTGGAGGAGACAGCGGCACTTGGGTTTGAGTGAAAGAAGATTGACTCTCCGCGCCTGTGGCTTGCTGCCGCGCCACCATGCCGTTATTGCCATAATCACCAGTGACAATAGTGGCAAGAAGAGGCAGAGTAGGAGGTGACGGAGGAGGTGAAGGAGGAGTAGAAGGGGGAGGCGGAGGAGAGAGCGGAGGAGGAGGCGGAGGCGGAAGAGAAGGAGCAGCAGCCACCGCCGTCGCCGCCGTCTGATGTAGAGGACCACTTGACTTCTTCTTCGCGGGCTTCTTAGCCTGTCTCTTTTTTCTTTCTTTTTTGTTCAACTTCCTCTGCGCCTTTCTGGCCTGGACGATATCGGCAAACGATGCAGCAGGCTGACCATCCATGCCCATATCAGCGTCGTCGTCGCTCTCCTGCTCAGTTTGAGCCGTCACCTCAACCGCTGGAGTTGCAGACTGTGACGCAGCGGGCTGAGCATCCTCAGTCATCTCCACGTCGTTGCTGGCGCTCGGTTCCGAGCTCGCGACGACCGCAACCGCATCAGTGAGCCGGCACATGGTCGGGTCCAAAGTCTGCCTACGCGAACGACAGGGGGGTCGAGGGGGGCATGAGTCAAGGTCAAGGCGTCGATCAATATCTGCTTGCAGGTCGAGCGATCTCTGCCTTTGGGTTTCCTTCTCGGCTGCGGTCTTCTTCGGGCGACAGACGTCGAAAAAGTCGTCAAAGGCTTCACTCACAACGAGATCTTCGGAGGAACAAAAGGATTGGACGCGGTTGAACGCAGGATACATTACACTATGAGCATGATAATAAGTCTTGATCCTTCGCTCTTTGGAACCAGAGGAACAAATCGGGCGATACGTACCGATTTCACGGGCGAGGTGATAAGAATGTCGAGCGATGAGGATAAGTCTGTATGTTGAGACCTGGTTAGCAAGACAGATCAAAACAGCGATAACACGGGGGGTTATTCTCACTATCTGATCTGAGTAAAAAGCTATTTAAACTAATGTGGAGCAATGCTACAGGCTCGAAAAGACAGCCTACCTTTGTGGCAGCCAGGTAACTTTTAAACTTTGAGATTCATTTGAACGAATGGAGGCAGGTGTGACGATGGTTCTTCAAGCTAAGGCATGTGTGCAAGAACACTGACTGAAACACTACTGTGCTGTAAAGAAGGACGAAGAAAGAAACAATATTTTGTTTACCTCACTAGCTGATAGACAAAAAAACCTTTCCTCTCACTGTTAAGGCTGCGCAACGTAAAGCGGGTCAAGGCTTGAACATCACATTGTGACTGTTATGAGCGAAACAGCTTGTTTAAGGATTCTGTTCCTGCACGTTACTTGATATGACTAAAGACTTAGCAACTGTTTAGGTCTTTCATTCCAATTTCTGACATCACTGAACATGAATCCTGCGTTGAGACCATGGTTATGGACAGCTGGAGGGCATCATGTGCCTGGTACTATGTGAGGGTTTCCTCATACACGTGACTGGTCATATGTCGTAAGTTCTTTATTCTACTGTACACCAGCATTAAACATCCTACATGACATTGAGACCTTGACTATAGACAGCTGGACGACCTCCTTTGCCCTGTACTATGTGAGGGTTTTCTCGTCCACGTGATCTCAATATGAACTAACGCATCACCCAAAAGAGCAATGCAGCAATCTCATCAGCATGAAGCATTCACACTGAGTGGAAAAGAAGGCTTCTGGAAAGTCTTGTTCCAACGCTTGATGGCTTGCAGATCTCCAGTGCAGCAAGGCTTCCACAAGCCTGGATGCGAACAATTTAGTTTCTTCTCGCATACAGTTTGAGGATTGTCTAAAGGATAATTAACTGCCAGCGATACTGATTATTTGAAGCTCAACAGACAGCTGAAAACTGGAAATTGTGGTGTGGATAGTTCTGGTATTTGTGGCCGAATCTCATCTAAGTAAATGTCAAGAGAGAACGGCTTTGTCTGAATATATGACTCATAGGAAATTGTTAATGTCAACGAATGGGTAATAAACAAGAAAGGAAAGTAATAATGCTCCGCTCAACGTAACGCTGTTGGTATATCATGATGGATGCAAAACCGGAATTGCTAAGGAGAGGTATCCAACATCAAGATGCAGAAGGCTAAGCCAGAACGTCAATAATACATCGTAGTCGGGAAAGAAGTGAGTTGAGAAGGTATTGAAGGGAATGGAAGTTTCTCGGGTGTTCAACATGGGGTTTAAGGATTTCAAAACATTCCTCCATCCAGAGGAATTTGGGGTGGTGGGTAGGTAGGAACAGCAGGCGGATGTGCGTCAGCAAGCAGCTGGTGACGGGCCTTCGCGTTCAAGTTGCCTCCCTCGCTAGAGGATTTGCGAAGCCTGGCTCGAGACTTCGGGCGCTTTTCGCCGTCGTCGGAGAAATTGCTTGTCTCCTCCATAGCCGAGTCGATCGAAGGTGTGTACTGAGACTCATGTCTCTCACCTTTGAGTGCTCCCAGAATAGTCTGCGTGGTGGTCTGACGACGACGTCGTGGATTCATCGGCGGAATTGGTGGTGTATCCATTCCATTACTCAGGCTGGCGCCAGGAGGAAGACCGACCGTCGGTACGTTTGATGTGCAGGAAACCAATGTAGGCTCAGAGATAAGGGTCTTGTTGATTGCCCGCTTTGTAAGGCCATTGTTACCCGGTGCACGATTGAGAGCGTGATAAGGTTGGTGGTTATTACTAATAGCAGGCACCAGAGGGGAACCGTTCTCAGAACCAAGATCCAAGGGTGGTGTGGCGTTGGCGGAATAAGGTGCAATGGGGGAGGGACGAGGAGCGGCACCAATCAGGGATGAACTGTTCGTCGAAAAGTAGGAAGGACGATCGTGGAAGCTCGAGACAGCTGAGCGGCTTCCACTACGGTGCCTAGTTGAAGCAGCGGACGAGCAGCGCTCATACATGGCAGACTCGGTGGCTTCGACTGAGGGGCGGCCAGAGGAACTGACGGAGTGGATGCCATACTGATCATGATCAGGATAGGCCATTGGGTGGTGAGTACCGTGCCCAACTTCTTCCAATGTCTCTAGGCCATCTCGGTCTCGCCGCGAGCGACTTTTCGAGCGACCCGATGCGTCAGACGTGGAGCGATCTCGGCGTGATCTAAAGCTGGAGTGTGGAGATGCACCGCGGCTCCGGCTGGACTCACGAGAGTCTTCCTGACTGCTGCGACCGAAGACGGACATTTTGGAACGGAAGGACCTCTCGCCTGCAATGTGGGGGGTGCTAGAATTAGCATGCTTTGCGAAAGGCAGGGCCGGCCTTTCTTCCTCCTCCCGCCAAGGGTCATCCGACACCAGAGCCGGAGTAGAGGCGTTTGCATATCCCAAGCCTTTAGCACCCTTCAGATCCTGTTTGCTGAAGAGATGTTGCTTCCCTGATTTGTTCTTCAGAAAAGAGAATGCGTTTCCCGGTTTGCTCGGAGTGAAGTCTGGAGTTTGGCGGCCAGAAACAGGACTAGCTGATCTGCTCTCCACCTCCGCAAAGCCCTTCAATTTTTCCTGCACCTTTCTCCGTCTCTCCGCTAGCTCGTTGGCGAACTCTTCGCGCTCAATTTGTGTCTCGGTACTTGCTTCGCGCCTATGTCTGGAGACGAGCTCATCCTGCCAATTTGAGCTATAGGGGGCACTTTTTAGATATTGCGCACTGGTATCCGCTACTGCATTCGTGTCTGCAGGCCTAGCGGGAAGACCAGGAGAAGGAGGAGGGTAAATCGACGAACGGTCGCTGTCCTGTCGAAGGTGTGCGCGAACCAAGCCACTCAAGCCCAGACCTGAGGGTCCCAGCGTAGGGGAGTCCGGCTTCTCTGGAGGATCCTGACCGCTACTAGACTTGTTCTCAACAAGATCATGCTCCGCAATCGGCTTCAAATCTCCCAAATCGGAGTACCGCACTTCAGGCAGAGGGCTTCGGTGTTCACTCGAGGGCGTCGAGGGCTTGGAAGGGGTTTCCGGTCGCAGTGCAGGGTGCAGTTCGTCTGTAGTGTACACTGTGTCGCGCAAACGCGAGGCGCGGCCTTCATCCTCCGAGTCACTTTGGCTCGAGTTGGCAAAGAAAGTGACGCCGGTGGTCTTCGGAGGGGAAGCGTTCGTGGCGGACCGGCTACCGGGGCGTTGAGCTTCACTGTAGTGCGAAGATGCTGAGCCAGGCCTCGACGTGTAGCTTGCATTCGAAAAACCCCGCGCGCGTCCAGGAAGCTCAGGCAGTTTGGTTCTCGCGGGCGGTGGAAGGGGCCTAGCCAAAGGCGGTGTGCTCCTCCCTTGGTGCATCTGTAGCTGGCGTTGTTTGAACTGACTTTCATCGAAAGTGGTCTTCGGCTTATTGAACAGGCCTGAAGCCGTAGCCTTACCATGGTCCTCCGGTCGGAGAGCAGCCACCAGGGCTCCTCCCTCTTCATTTTCACTGAAAGGGGGACTCAGCGGAGGAACACTGTACGTGGTGCTTGCAGGGCCTTTGAGTCCCTTGGCGGCAATGTTTAGCGCCTCCTCTGAAGATGGAAACAAAGATTCGGGGCTCGTGGGCTGGGTCGGACTGGGGTTACTGGGAAGGGGTTCGGTGATCGTCAGGGGTTGCATTCTATCACGGAGATTTGTGGCGCTTTTGGAGAAAGCCCGGTTGAGTGGCGCGTGCTCGGGAGTTCCTGCTCTCTGACGACTCAGGCTCTCTAGGCGCTGGAGGGTAGATGCTTGTTGATTTTGTGCACTCTGCGCCAACCCTTGCCCGTATAGACGCCTCGACTTGATTGAACCACGTTCAGCTGCCATTCCCGGCATGGTTGACTTTGGTGCAGAGAACAGACCCTCGCTGGCTGACGTCTGCGGCGAAGTTCCCGATAATGACTGCTCATCTATCGACGTAGCAGCTGTTGATGTGCGAGCATTCGCAATAGGACCGGATGCAGTGGAAGAAAGGGTGGTGCGTTTGGCGGAGGAGACCCGGGAAAGTGCGTCTTCCATCTCGTGGGAAGGACTTCCTTGTGGCAAATCCTCCGCCATCGATTCGACGCCTTCTTTGGCATCGGGAGAGTGAAAAGCAGACGTTGTCAAGTCAGGTTCATAGAGCGCACGGCTGCTCATCTGTGAACGCCCAGAGTCGGAAGCACCCAATGTTGACTTCGATGAGATCTTGTATACCTTCTGCCGTCCGCCAAACAAGTTATTGCTTTCCACTCGGCGACCTCTGCTCATAATACTTTCTTTCTGTGAGGGGTCCTCATCAATCCCACAGGAATTATCCTCCGACACTATTGATTGGGCACGCCCTGGGGCTATCGATCGACCATCGATTGAGACCTCATCTATATCAGCCAGGAAGCCGGGGTTGTGACCGAAAAGATTCAGTCGCGAGGCACGCTTGGGGAATAAGACACTGTCGTCACTTGCTTTGCCGATAATGGAATCCGGATCATCCTGCTCTCTTAACATGCTGAACCGTGCGGACAATTTTGGCATCAAAAGACTGGTGCGGAAGTCGTCGGTCGATGGTAAGGCTGAGGAGAGATCGAAATCCGATTTCTCCTCGGGCTCCTCCTTCTTAGATTTCCATGACAGCTTGGAGCCGAGTCCTACTGAGCTGCTCTCAGGGACTTCTATCACCTCCTCCTTCACCTTGTCCTTTTTGCTCTTGCGGAAACGATTCATGGCGGACTGTGCGGGGGTAATGCGCGCGACGCCGGTGAATCTCAGGGATGTGGTGTTATCGCGTCAGAGACCGGGGCAGATCGAGGGTTACGCTGAGGTGGGAGACTGAGTGAAATTCATACGTCAGACACATATGGGCTGCGGACAACATGGGGTATCCCTGTGCGCGGTTCTATGGGGCGAGTAACTTACTAGTGACTGTGGCGAAGCCGAAAGGCCGATTGAGCGTCACTCGATACACAACAAATTCAGAGGAGTGATCGAGCTAGTGGATTATTGGATGTATTTCCGGATTGTTCTTCATTCCCTGAAAGTCGAGATGCTCCGGGGAGCGTCAAAGCTCAGAATAGGCGGCGCGCAGGCGGGCGCGCAGGACTCGGTCGGAGTAGTTGTCAAATAGTGGATTTGATGTGCAGGGTGCTAGGATGAGAGACGGTCGCAAAAGCAATTGAGCAGCAATGTGGCGGAGGAATCTCCAGTGCAGAAGTTATTCTGTGAAGGCGATCGAATTGGAGGCGATGGGCATCTGCATGGGACGCAGGAATGTGGCTGCACCGTGGAAAGCGGGAGCGGAGTCGGTAGGGATGCTGAAAGTCCGGGTTGATGGCGGGTGGAGGCGCCCAGAAATGAGTGCGTCGTCTGTAGTGAGTGGATGGGATAGAATAGAATGTGAATTGAAAAGAAGGGAAGGATTCAATTAATCCCAAATAAAAGGTATGAAAAGAGTGTGGAAGTTGGAAAAGGGAGTGTGTAGTGAAAAGGAATGACTGGTGACTGCTCAGATGTGTCGAAAAAGAGAGAGAGAGAGAGAGAAGAGGGGAGAGGGAGGGAGGAGCAATCTATTGCTTCTACCTCAAAAAAAGAAGGGATCTGGATTCAATCCGATCGAGTCACTCTTTCGCGCGCTCATTCTTATTTTTTTTTTTACCTTTTCTTTTTACCTACTCTCTTATTTTTTCAATGTTTTTTTTCGGTTCTTGATTTTAATTGAATTTGGCACTAGCCGACTAGAATTGCTCCATGGTCAGAGGACCAGTCAGTCAATTCCAATGTCATTTTATTATTACCGACAAGTCCAGAGCGCCGTGCTGGAGACGATCAAATTATTGGGTCCCATGGAACGCGCTTCTGCGGATCGACACGAGATGCTGTCTTTGTTTTTCATTTTCACTATGGAGAGGGAACGTCAAGAAAACCAAATTGTTCAGGATTATGATTCCTTCTTCTTTCTATCTATGGTGTCCTGTATCTCCGAGCCAGTCAGTTTCCTTCTTGTCCCTCTAGTCTCTCCCTCTTCCTCTCCCTATCGAAGGGATATCAATGGTAACCGGGGGTGACAGCCCGTCTGGAATATTTCGGACTTCATACCTGGATCATAACAACTCTCTAAAGTCAATAAACTGTCACGGAAACCATGGATGTGGTCTCGGGGTACCGTACGGTACCGTCGACTGACTATCAAGCCCCAATGCCCCTTGCAGACTCCACTCCGAATGAACCACAAATCGGATGTCCCCATTTTGGGTACACTGTACCAACCTTACCGTTCTTACGTGCCTTACGCCGGCTGTATTCAAAGGTCGAAGTATTTGTGGGTGGGTGTCTTTTCCATCCTCCACCAAGCCCATTCTCAATCGACCTACAGAGCAGGTCCTCCGGGACGAAGTATGTCGATGCTACTGAGTTGCCAGTCACCAACTTGAAGCCGATCTGTCTATCATGTCTCGTGCATTTATTGTTCTTTCCCGCATGTCAAACATGGGTGCTCCAGTTGAAACGGCAATGCCTGCCAGACCTCCACTCCCTTCCTCCATCCAGCTGAATAACGCAGGTCACTTTGTGCGAATTACACGACCGCGTCTGGCGGGATGTGGGCCAATCTGGGGCTGAAGGCTGAAGTAGTGAAGGCTGAAAACCCCAAACCAAAACCTCAATTGTCAATTGCATTTCCAGTGGGAAAGAGGACAAAAGGTTCTCTTTTCCCACTGCCCCAAACGCCTTCCGCACAAATCATCGGCAATGGCCGCCCACCCAGGCAAGCGGGAGATGCTCCCGAGAGTCTCCTTTTTCACCCTGATGAGGCGTTTTTCAAAAAACTATATATAATTCTGAAGCCGCCGACTAAACTGAAATATCCCTCCACCGTTGTTTGGATAATGTGATCTGTCTGCTGAATATCCGTTTCATGGCTTTTAGGCCGGTACTTTTAGCTCAGGGCACATTGGGCGCGGTTCCGGAAATTTGGACGAGCGGGACGATCACCTGGACCTTTGTCGGGGATGTGGTAGAGTCTAGTAGGTAGATAGATACTGTGCGGTCTTGCCAGCATTGTACATACACAGTACATCGCGATACAACGACCGCTCAATTGATGTCATCAATTATACTATTTTGATCTTGGTCCTGTTGAGAGACTCGCGAGGGGAGGCACACAATCTCAATGAGTCGGACAGTATGACGAAGGCTGCGGTCGTCCCGCAGATACCGGATGTCAAAACGTTCATTGTGTGCAGCTGCTGAAGATGCTATCACAGAGTACGGAGTACGAAGTGCTCCGCCGCTGAGATACCCCTGAGTTTGGCTAAGAGGCACACAAGATTGCAGGGATTGAAAGCGACCTCGCGTCGAATCCGGAGTGCAGATGCGACATGCATAAGATCCTGTAGGTTTACCCCTCCTTGAAAAAATCCCCAACATGGAGTCACTAATCGCTCTCGAGTCTCGAGAGATTCCAGAACCATCCTTGTTGGGGAGTTAGTGTCTTTAGACAAGACCCATCCGTTGGTTCACCGAGCGGCGCACGCTTCCTTTAGGACCAACTCGAGTATATGTCGGATGCTAGTCGGTTCGATATATTCAGTATGCAGTTCCGCAGGAAGATCGAAGTCCCAATGGCGATGGAGATCCGATACGTCATCCAAGTCCGTGATGGCCATGAACTAATCACTTCCACATGGCTCTCGGGTGGAGGCAGGGCGCACTTTCGTCTGTAACCACCATCTTGAGGGATATGTAAGAGAAAAATGTTTATTTCGCTAGGTGATCGTCTAGACACCCACTAATCATCCATCGGTGAAATTAGACTGCCGTCGAGTCAGTATAGCGTAGGTAGTGAGAAAGAGAAAAAAAATGACAGCCGTTGAATAGCCGGGACCCAAGTCTGCCCGACGGAGTAGTCCCTTGGAAACAGGTCTGGTTTGTACCGTACCGTACAATGGTGGTTGGTGGTGGATACCCCTGACTAGGCCTGAAGAGGTGGAATTGAGGAGTGCGGTCTGGACAAAAAATTCTTAGTTTAGTGAGTCTTAGCATGCTTAATAATGGTAATAGTCAACCATTAGTTAGAGAGTTGGTCGCAATACAAAGTGCAGTAACAAATTGGACGACCAGAACAGGGACGGGAACAGACACCGTGACTGGCAGTAGTCTAGTCTTACCGGGCTGTTCTCCGCCCACTTTAGATTAATCCTGGGCAAGGACGGGAGAGAGACAGGCACAGCCAGGCACCGCCAGGCACAGACAGGTACCAGTTGACCCCCAGTGGTCGCAGTTTTCAATTCGACTCCGCTGTGGCCCCCGTCGTCTTCCACTTCCATCTGCATCATCATGAAGTCATGCTCGTAGAGGTGGTGTTGATCAAGGTTTCTCCTTCACCTTATCCAAGATTCGAATGGCCAGCTTGAGGATCCAGATCCGTCCCGCTGTATCTGCGATTAATTAATCCAATCTCCGAGATCCATGAGGGGAAAGAAGTGCGTCGGACTAACCCAAGCCCGCATGCATCCACGACTGCCGAGTCCAGTGCACAGTACACACACCTGTTGAGTCCCAATAACCTTCTTCCCATTATCGACATCAATCCCGCTTTATCCACATTCCCATCCTCTGGCATGAGTAATAAGGCTCCATGGCATCCACACGGTTGCGAAGTCGGAGTCGAGCGTGCGCTCCATGGTTCTCCCGCTCTGAAGCTTTACGCGGGGAGAGGTACCTCTTTTCAACCATTCGGCCGGTGTTTCAGATCGCGATGGGATCAAACACGAGTCTTTTCACTGTCTTAATCTCGCCTACGCCTTCACTTCTCTAGCTTCCAAGAAGCCCCCCAGAGAGCACGAATCTCCCTGGAATCGCTATTGACATGGGCGCAAACAAATGATGACTGCGACTGAGGAGCCAGAGCCACGTGGAAAATTTGAGTTCTGGCTGATTCACAGCTGGTCCCTAAGGTTCATCAAGGGGGAGTTTGCAGGGCGATGCTGCCATGGAGATGCGCGATAAGAGAGCGCGGCTCCTTGCAGTGCCTGAGACATTGTGTTGCTTGACTGACCGATTGATTGATGAATGCATTGAATTGAATGTACTCCGTACTGTCAATGCTTTTCAACAAGTCAAGGTGTAGCTTAGCTGATCACAGCCAACTTGACCATGACGCAATCCTCGACTTCCCCTCCATGAATTACTAATCTAAACTTCAACAAGCTACTGCTCGCGCCGCACATCATCAAGACAGCAACCTACGCTTTCTCAGTGCACTAATTCCACCCGGTACTCAGCATTAGACAAACACTACGATATTCAATAACCAGTATCGCCATCATGCAAGTCCTACTCCTCGGTGGTCACGGCAAAGTAGCCCTCCATTTGACCCCGCTCCTCCTCGCCCGCTCCTGGAATGTCACCAGCGTCATTCGTAACCCCGAACACGAAAGTGAGATTCTCGCGCTGGGCAGAGGCGCCAAGGGCAAACTCGACGTGCTTCTCTCCAGCTTGGACGATGTGAAGAGTGAAGGCGATGCTAAGAAAGTCCTGGACGCCGTTGATCCGGACTACGTAGTTTGGTCTGCAGGTACGCAACTCGCGTTTGGAATCGGACAACCAACAATTACACAACGAAACTGCACCACGTCAAACCATGCAGGTCCTTGCTTTCACTTCCTCACCTCTCCACAAGACCGAACTCTCGGTCCTCTTTGATAGCAACAATACACTAACTCCTTTCCCCCTTGGGAAACCCCCAAAGGCGCCGGCGGCAAAGGTGGTCCCGCCCGCACCCAGGCCATCGACGAAGTCGCCGCGAAACACTTCCTGTCGGCCGCCTTCGCCCGCCCCCGCGTGACCAAATTCCTCCTGGTGTCGTGGATCGGCAGCCGACGCAACCCGCCCAGCTGGCTCTCCAACGACGACTGGTCCGGCCTCCAGAACGTCTTCCACAACGTCCTCCCCACATACGCCAAGGCCAAGCTCGAGGCCGACGAGTACATGACCGCGCTGG